AGGAAGTCAGAAATAAATTAAAAAATGAAGAAAATAACAAAAAAAAATTGGTCTTATTTCTGTACTTTTATCTGTTCACAGCTTTTCTTTACTGCTTTTGCAACTAAATTCTAATTATTCTCTATAAACTTTGGTGATTTCTGTGTGTGCAGTTAAAAACAGAAAAAACAAATTAGATTTAATTAATTAATAGAATAAACTTATCTATATTTAATCATTATTTTAAACTTTTTTATCTAATTGTTCTATACTATTCTCGTAAAAAAAAAAAAAAGTGCATGTTTTGTTTGTCGTTTGCTAATACTGACAATTGTCCTGTAAATTCTAAAGCATTTTTTTGTTTTTTTTACTGATTTTTGCAAAACCACTAAATGAAGTATCAATAAATATACGATATTTGGTTACAAACTACACATAGATAAACTACTGGATACGTTAAGCCTGTTCATTATGGTCATACAAATTTAACAGTTTCAAACAGTTTTAAGTTTACAAGAATGACGGTTTTATGGCTAATCAGTAAGCGCTTATTATATATGTGTCCTTCCATCTTTCCTTTTTTTCTTCTTTGCCATTGCTAATGACATCAAATTTTAGTGTACAACACCTTTATTCGTTATACTTCTCATTAATAACATTTTCAACAGGTCAGTTTGATTTTTTGCTTTATTCCTTGGTTGTTGATACGGGTATATCCGGCGACTGTATCAGATTCCACAGATACATACAAATTGGCATATATTTGCTGTAATTCTTTTTCGTTGCTACTGCTGGTGGTGCTATTGCTGTCGTTGCTGTTGCTGTGCGATCTATAGAATCCGTTCAACAACAACTAAATCACGTATTTTATTCTATTATCATAAAATTTAGTTGACATTATTTTTGATATATGTCTTATCAACAAATCTACAATAAAATCTACAACAACAACAACAAAAAAAACAATTTTTTTTTCTTTTTACTGTTGTTTAGCGGAAATTAGGTCATCAAATGTTGTTGTTGTTTTTTTTCTTTCCTATTCACTTTCTCATCTTTTTTTTTTTTTACACACTTTTTTTCGTTAATGGCATCATTGATAATTTACGGAAAGAAAAAAAGGTAGCAGCAGCTAGAAAGATCCAAAAAACAAAAAATTTTTTTTTTGATTTATTGGTTAAATAAAATAAAACAATTTTCAAATTCTCAGATGAAACTATCACTAAAAATACTATAAACACATAATCAACGTTGTATTTGTAAACATTCTCGGTTGCAGGCCAACAATCATAACCAATACATTATTATTTCAATATTTTTTTCTGTAAGTTGGTTATATTCAGTTTTTACAGAGCAGAAAATTTGAACGTAATTACTGCACTTTTTTTTTTTGTGGCCAAAAACTATGACAGTTTTGAAGACAATTATTAATGCGTAAAAGTGGCAGTAAGGCAGGAAAACAATAAAAATTATTTGATTTTTTTTTCTTTGAAACAAAAACAAATTTTTTTCAAAAAAAAAAAAAA